CATTGCTGGCTCATGTTGAGCTTCTCGTCCACTAGTTTCAGAGGGATTAACAGACTGTGTCATCTGAAGATAGCCAGTTTCTTTATACTCAGAGTCCAACACTTGTACAACTAACTCAGGAGCCCATGGGATTATAAATAATTAGTTAATCCAAAGAGATTTACATCTTTAGGACAAATGATTGGTCTTCAGCACTGAAAAACTTCTCACTTTTTGCAACCTTTTAAATCATAGTAAGTTTTTTAAAAAGCCATCAACAGTTCTAGATTTACAGCTGGCACATCACAGGTGCTTACCAGCAAATGTTCTCTCAGGATTCACCCAGGAAAATCCGCTTTATGAATGAAAAGTAGAATATTAGAGAAAACAAATCATTACCACTGGCAAGCTAAAGATGACCTCTTTGTCTCATTCACGGAGTGAATCAAACCTCTCTTACCCTAAATCAATAGAGGTAAGGAATTAATTCCCTTTAAAAAAGAAAACTAAATAAGACAGACTTATTCCTCCAGAGCTCTTATGCTGTTACCAGTTTATGCTGCTGTGAATGAAGTTATTCTTTACACTTGTACAGTCATTTTGGGGATTCTAAGCTTTTCCCTCGAGCTACTTCTCAGCGCCTTTGTTTTCCAATATGAATCTAGGAAAACTTCCAAATAAGATAATTCTTGCTTAGGTTTACACTTCATTGCCTTGATTATGCTATTTAGGGAAAAAAAAAACCCAAACAACACCCCAGACTTTTTATATCTCTTTGGCAACATTTCTTACTGATTTCCCCCATCACTCAAATAGCTTCTTTGATTGGACTTGTGTCTTTAATTTCATTCTCTATTGCTATATTATTTCTTCCTCATTCCTTTCCTGTAATGTCAGTATGACTTTGTACAACATACTTTCTATTTCAACAGCTTTCCTAATATCTTTTTTACTCCAGGTGCCATTTGCATTTCTGAATTTTATGTATTTGAACTTTTCCCATTAAAAAAGCCCCATTTGCTCCATGTTTGTTTTCTTTCTGACTCCTCTCCTTTGGTTCCTGTTGCAGTATTTTGTGGCTCAAGCATCTGACTTTTGTAACTAAACTGACCACTCAGTTAAGTTTCTCTTAGCATTTGCCTTAGGTTTTGGAGTTTTTTTTCCCCTCTTAATTCATTACAATTTAAGTCAGCTTCTCAGAGTCAGAAAGTTGGCATGCAGTACCTGTTCTACCCGCACAAGTCTAATGTCAGACGGTCTGCATGAGAATTTCAGAATCTCAGAAGTCTGCATGCTACGTACATTTTAAATTCTTATTTTGTGCACATCTCCCACACTTTATCATCCTTATCTCTAACTCAAGCCTTTTTTTTTTTCAAACTACTTGCTTTGCTAAGGTCGTCTCAGCAGCAGGAAGTGAAGCTTTGGTATCATGTATTTGACTGTGCCACAACCACTGAAAATGTGACATTTTACTTGAAATTCTGCTGAAGTTAGAAATAGTCTTTCATGGAGATTCAGAGAGATTCTTCTCTCTCTGGAAATAAAAAGAAAAAATAACTGCAACATCTTATTTCTTAATAATTACCATCTCTGGCATGATGTTTTGAAGAATGATATCCAGAGATTTTGCTATGAAATATATTGCATATTACAGTCATCTTGCAATAATGTCTAGGGAGCTGAACAATATAATTCTTCAATGTATTCAGGTTTTCATTTTTGTATATTAGAATACATACAGATGTCTTTATATGTAAGCGTTGTTTTATGATCAAAAAGTAGAAAAGATATTGATATGTGCATGTATTAGTATTGATGGGAATTGTAGGTCCAAAGCAAGGTCTACCTTCTGAAGGAAACTGGGAAATGCATAGTATATCTTTTATAGTGTACTTCTAAATTGACATTGGCAATGACTAAGGAAGGTGGTTTTATCTCCTTCTCAAAAAGCTCCCATTCAAGAGAAACTTTATGGCACCAGCAAGAATCTTTGTCTTAATGAATCAGCATGTCTGGTTTTGTTTATTTGTTTGTTTTAATTTGCTCTTGATATGCATTGAGTCTGTCTTTACTTCTCTGTTTACTGAGAACTAAGCAGTCCAGGGCAAAATTAATCAGTAGCAAACTTCCTTTCTAGGAGTGTTGTCTCTAGAGACAAGAAACCTCTAATTTTCTATATATTTGTGATGAGTTTGAATAGCAATTTTGGTATATAGTGTTAGAATACATTTTATAGCAGAACTCTGTTTGCTTTGAAGGGCCCTTTCTTCACCTCAAATTTTCTTCCAGCATCTTTTCTCTGAAGTTTCCCTTTGTATCTTGATTTCACTCATGTCTTAGCGTCTTTCAAGTTCTAAAAAGTTCCAGCTCTACTTATTTCAGTTTTCCACAGCAGTCTACACACTTAAGCTTATATGTACTAGAAATGAGAAAAAAGAATCATTGTACACAAACTTTGCAATGATCTCTATTATCTTAAATGGTATAAAGATAAACATAATGCTTCACTGCTCAGACATTAATTCTTAGTTTAGAATCACATGGTCTTTAATACTTATCTTAACTTCAAGTTTTGTACAACTTGTGCACAACGTTGGTAAAATACCTGTCTTGTGAAGTTCTTGTCAGAGAGACAAGAAGTGGGATCTGTCATAGCAAATATAAGTTTTATATGTATCACACTAAATTTTCTGTTTCTGAAATGGTTGTTTATCCTCCAGCTGCACAACTGTGACCTCCAAGTGTATTGTGGTGGAAGTACAACTGTCCTAACCACAATTTTTGTCAGCTAGATTTCTGGGTTGGGTGGGGGGGGAAGACAAAAAAAAACCCCAAAAAACCCTTTGAAAAAAAAGTTGCAACAAGTCAATTTACGTCTTAATTGGTTTTATTTCATCTAAAAAGATTAAAAAGCAAAATCCAGACAGTACTATGATATTTAATTTTGTGTTGTTTTTTGACTAAGAATACTTAAAACACTAAGAACCAGCAGCAGTATAATGTTATTATATGAGGTTTTCTTTACTTCAAAAAAACTTGCAGTTAGGATGAAACACAACAAGATAGGTATGATGTACAGACAGTGTGGCGAGGAGAAAAGGTAAAGCATAACTGTGTGGTCTTATTTCCAAAAGTATTTGACAGTTTTGAAATACATAAACAAGAAAGGTTTAATTTCAGTCACTTCTTGCTATCAGCCTAGTAATTTAAAAGACATTTGTTTATTAAAAGTGCGTGTGTATGTAACTGCTGTTTATAGCAAAGAAAAACAGAGAAATTTGTTGAAGATAGAGATCAGATTTTTATTTAAATAGAAGACCTGTCAAAATACAGCATACAGTGTCAGCAACTTTCTTCTGAGTGTTAGGTTGTATCATTGCTCTTCATGTCAAATTGTCATAACATGTCTGTCATTGCATCTTTCAATTAACCTTAAAACCAAGCCTGAGAATTATACAAGGAACAAAGTTTAAACAGAATCCTTACATTTAGCAATACTGTCTGATAGCAATCATTCTCTCTTGGTGTTGATGAAACCATCAGGGTATGAAGAGTCCTACAGTGATTTCTTTCCAGTTACCAAACCCTTTGGCAGTAGCTTATTGTTACACCCAAGTCTCTGATAATTTAATGATAGTAAATTCCCTAGAAAGTATGCATTTTTTCTGTGATTTGAAGCTGTGCTCTTATACTATAGTTCAGAGGCTACTTTTTCTTCCATTTTGCATAAGCTTTACAATGAATCCTTGCAATAACTGTAGAATTTGGAGGTTAGCACTTTAAATCATAATAAAATGTTTCATATACAATATTCACCTGGAAATGTAGGTCACTGGAACAGGCTCCCCAGGGAAGTGGTCACAGAACCAAGTCTGCAGAGTTCAAGGAGCGTCTGGATGATGCTCTTAGTCATATGGTTTAGTTTTAGATAGTCCTGTGAGGAGCAGGAGTTGAACTCAATTATCCTTATGAGTCTCTTCCAACGTGAGATATTCTGTGATTTCTGTTGGTTTACACAACGTGCCTGAAACCTGTATCTACACCCTTCTTTACTTCTTTCCTCTATCCTATAATTTCTCTTTTTGTTATCCTATAATTTCTGTGTATGCTTTTTGGGGCAGGGACCATTCACTGTTCTGTTTATAAGAAGACAATCTATTATTGACATTCTGTGGATATAGTGGATTTATATGTGAATAAATTGTATACACCTCTACAATAAGCCACTTCTGACACTTTTCTTTTGATTTTCTTTTTCTGCGGGTAAAGCTTAAATAGGCAAGGTTTATTACCACTGTTTCCTTCCCTATCTAATCTGTAGTCCTGTCCTCTTATCCTGGCTATTGTTAAGTATTTTAGTTTTCTGATAAAGCACAGAACTCGTACTACATCCTCTTACTTTTTCAGTGTCTCTTTCCTGTGCTTCCAGCAAACTGACAAGCTTTCACACTGAAAACCCCATTTACCCCATCTAGAACTGCCCTTTTTCATTTCCTGAATCTCATAGGCAGCCTCTTATTCTATATACCACTCTGTACATCTTACCATTTCAACGCATATCAGGGATGGAAAGATTTGGCAGTATTAAGTATTTCTGAGGTCCCAACCATGCATGCTAAGAGGTGAATTTGGACAGTTCATCTTGATAGGTCAAATAAAATAAGAAGTTTCTAGAAATGATATGTGATTTAGTTATTAAATTATTATTAAATATAGTTTTATGCTAATAATGATATTAGTAGATTAGTAGCAGAATACTGCAAAGAACTTTCCTACTGACAAGACCAGGTGCCGTCTTAACTGATTATGATTCTGTGATACTATCAATACTGTTACGTCAGTCTTCAAATATGCATGTGCTGAGAAAATTGTTTTCTACCTTGCTGCAATACTGCTTCTGTAATCTTCAGTGCACTTTTTCTACGGCATTTTTCCCAACATTGTGATAACTGCAAGGCTGTGTCATTTCTTGTGTCTATTTCTGCATCCTAACTCACTTGTCTGATTTCTCCTTTAAGGTAAATAATTACAGTTTAGAAGAAGTAACCCATGAAGAGGCAGTAGCAATACTGAAGAACACATCAGATGTAGTGTATCTGAAGGTTGGAAAGCCCACCACCATTTACATGACTGATCCTTATGGCCCACCAGATATTACTCACTGTAAGTGATTTTTGGAACTAATTTTGTAGGAATTTCAGTTTGTCAAATGATTGCATGTTTTTTCATAGCTTGTCCAAAGTACCCCATTAAAGTTGATGAAACAGCTTGGAAGGCTACAAAAATGAAATGTTTATTGCCACTTAAACATGCTACATGCATGAAGTATTTCAAATAATATAACTCTGATAAATTATTTTTGCAGCAAAAGTAATAATGTAGCTGATGTACTGCTGTAATGATTCCAATTAGCCATTGTCCAGGTGATCAGACTGAACTGTAACTCTTGTGACAATTACAGTAGTAAGTATATGCAAATATATTTTGAAATATGTTTAGATTTATAGACCATAGTCTATCCATGGAAAAATCAGAACAAGCAGCAAACCATCTTGTACAAACTTAGTGAAAAGCCTGAGAAAAATGACTATTATATTTGCATAAAATATTTAATTGGAATGTCAAAATCACTGCTCTGTTTACACAAATTTACCTATTTTCTGTGTATATCCAATTCCTAAATTATTGTTCCACTTAGCTTTTTTTCAGTCTGTTCATTAACTTTATGTAAGTTCATCTGCTTTTTTTTCACTGAGGACCAAGGCTTTATTTGTCCTTGCATTCAGTGTGCACTCTGTTATAGGAAAAGTTGTTGAAACACTATAGTAAAGCTCAGTGAAGGATCTCATAGGAAGGGAAGATGATTTTATTTTAAAACAGATTTCAATCAGGCTGTCATATTCACACTCTCAAAATAATCTAGGCTTATGTCCTGCATTTGGGTACAAAGACGTGCATCCAGCTGCATGTCACTGAGATCACCAACTACAAGGGTGGGTGGCTGAGTTCTTATCATACACATATACCTTATTTTTAGGATGACAACCTCCTTGTTGAGGTGCTTTTGGTACCCTTAAGGAGATGACAGCAATTAGGATCTTCTGTCTCTCCCATCTGTCCCGCCTACATCTTCAGGATTTACTCACTTCTCTTTTGTCCCTTATCTGAGTGTCCTAGGTTCCAATCTACTCTTTATCTCCTGCCATCATATCTTAATGGCTTGAGTCTTTGTTTTAATTTGAGTATAAGCTGTCCTGTCAAGTTTCATGTAGTTGTGTTGAGTATTGATGACCTATTGATTAATCTACATGCTATCAATACATGACATTCCTATACCCCTCCTACCTGTCCTCCTGGTGTCCATACCCAAGCATTCCCATCCCCTTTCATCCACAGAAATCTTAAAATTTCCATTGCAGCTCTCTATACCACTGGTGCCTGTTGTTCTAAAGAGTTCATTACTGAAACTCCCTTTCTTAATTTAGTTGTTCATTAAAAAGCCTTGGGTTCAACTACCAACAGGGACCAGTTGCACCATCTAATAACTGGATGGCAGTTTAATTTTTGACAAGAGCTTCAGCAACTGATCCATACCCATCTTGGTCTCCTGCCAATAATGCTAGGGACACTTAAGGCCAACCAAGGGCTGGGAAAGGCAGATTTTCCAAGTAAATGCTAGAGATTTAAAATTTTCTGCATTCTTGCATAATGTTGCTACTGTAGACTGATGAATTTGAGGGAAAAGCTAAATTTCCATAATCTTCCTTATTCAGACTGCTCCATAAAAATACAAGGGAAGCTTTGTAACGTGCACGTCAGGTGGTACACTCAGCTGCGCTGAGGATATCTATTTATTTAGCAAATGCTACAACAGGTGGCAGTCACGTTTTTCAGTAGCAGTCTGGTCTGGATCTTAGCAAAGACCAAGAAGTAAAAATGCTAAATACCCCTACCCAATCTCTTGCTTTATAAGACTTTCCAAAATAATAATTTGAGAGTTCTAAACCAGTGTTGTTTATTATGTCAGATTATAGATCAACAGCTTATGAGAAGGCAAAAGTTATTCCAGAGGGAGAGTAAAGGTTGAAAAGATTTGCAGTAGCCCATCCCAGGCTGTTGGTGCATACAGATTTATTTATCCTCAGGGAACCTTTCATTATACCTACACGTTCAGAGTATTTCAGAACGGGTAATGGCCTTTCCCTATAGAGATATTTTACTTTGAAACATTCTCATCATCTCAGCATCTGAAAGAAAGATTGAAAGTAGTACCAGGAAGTTTAGCTGTCTTCTTCTCAGGAGAAAATTAATCATAGCTCATTGTAGAAGCATGTATCTTTGATTTTCCTATTTGTCAGTTCCTTTTCTAAATACATTAACTAGAGATTTGAATACAACTATTATTTTATCTCTCCAGTCATCAATATCCCCAGTAACTTCAGACTAGCAAAAAGCAAGCAAACACCAAAATCCATAGACCTAATATAGAATCAGACAGTATAGTCCTGTAATTTTCATTGTTAATCATTAATATGTAAGATATTTGTATCCACTTTCTATTTTAAAGATACACATCTACCGTATTCTAGATAGCATCTATGTTGGTTCTGAATTTTCTGAAATTTCAATTATATTGTGAATTTTGGCACCTTTAGTAGATTACAGCTTTAAATCTTCACCATACATAATTCTTGCTGTAGATAAAATTCCTGCTTTTATCCTGTATTGAGTTCTTACTGTATTACTCCCACTGCTGTATATTAGAGCCAAAAAGAGGAGTGTGCTTTTAATCTCATTCTCTCCTATTTACATTTCCTTCTTCAAGTCAGTCCTGATTAAAGAAAATGTTTCCTGTCTCCCAAACTATCCTTTCTTATTCAGATCCCCTCTAAAGAGTCAATCCCTGCAAATAAGCCAACATTATTATTATTATTATTAATTTTATTGTTGTTGTTATTGTTATCATTATCATTAACCTTTTAGGAAAACTTCAGCTCCTCATTCTTTCTTGTTACATTTTAAGCTCTCTCAAGCAAGGACTGTCTGTTTTGATGCTATTTACAGCAATGAGCTTGTTCTTCATACTTAACTAAAAAACGTTGCTGTTGTGCCATCTAATCAAACACGAAAGAATCTAACTAGAAATGTTTATTCTTACCATCAGCTTATTCTCCACCAATGGAAAATCATATACTCTCTTCCGGAAACAATGGCACTTTAGAGTACAAGACATCCCTACCCCCTATCTCACCGGGAAGATACTCACCCATTCCAAAGCACATGCTTGTGGAGGACGACTACACCAGGTCAGAAGCTTTTCTTTGTTACTTTTCATGACAATTGCAAAGGACGTAAGTAAAGCATTCAGTGCCCCTCCAATAAAACATGGCACATTGTTCTTTTCAGTCATGTTTAAAGGAAGATTAATTGAAACTGTTACAGGTATGAAAACAACTAAGAGAAAGATGACACGAATGAATGCTGACCTGAGGATCATGTTGTCTGGGTGCAATCCTGCACTAGTTCCTAAACAACATGGCAGTACTAGAGCAATGCTGGCATTGAGCAAAATTTTCTGCTTCTTAACGGATGTGTTAGCCATGATAGTTCCATACTAGCACAACAAGGAGATCACAGGATCAGTGACTCATCTGGCTCACTACACCTATGGGTGGAGTGACTGTATGTGTGTTTGTACCTGTCCCTGACAGTACAGTCGGAAAGGTCCAGATCATTGGGTTGAGTGAAAGGGAGGTGAAACTGACTGTAATTGCTCAGCGTACACACATTGAAAGATTAATGTCACAGAGAGTAAACACTGTGGGAAAAGGAAAAAAAAATATAAACTGGCTGCAAACAAATATAGGAGGGAAACTGGAAAAAGTTTCTTAACCCTTCGAGCAAGTACAATATGAAACAGTTTTCTGTGAGAGCGTGGAGGTTAAAAGGAAACTGTTTATGCAATGGTACCTTATACTTTCATAAAAGGGACTCTTTGATGTGATTACCAGCAAAATGACCCTGGAAATTGCTTCTAATATTTTTTTATTATTATTTATTTATTTTTTTAATACTATGAAAAGGACTGAGACTACTTTATGGAAGTATGGTAGCAGAATTTTTATTTTATCTATGTAGTTGATGTCCAGGTAGAAAAGACACATAAGAAAATGCTGGGAAGGTTCTTTTATGCCTTGTGTTAGATCAACACTGAATGCCACTGATGAGACGATGTATATTTATCTTTTTGTTTGAAAAGCACCACTATTTACTTAGAAGACAACAGTTATTCAGTTTGCAAAATGAGCCCTCTTTATAATGTTTAGCTCCACAGAAAATGAGAAATTTTTTTTCTGTGCTTCAGTATTTATAAATTCATTGTGTTTAAAGCTAGGAGGAGACTGTTCTGATTATCTGACCTGGCCTACTGTGTATCTCAAGCCAAAGAGTTTCATCCACTTATGTATTCATCAGCTTCATAACTTACTAATTTGCATTTCATGTTTCTTGTTGTATATGATTACTATCTCAAGCTGCTTGACTTGTTGGATCAGACAGATTCAGAGTAACTAAATCATGATATAATGTTTAATCAGGAAATAAATGTATGGAAACCACACCTTGCTTCCCTGTCTTGGCTAAAAGAATTTCCCCTTTGTTCTGATTGAGGAGGCAAAGCTGACATTGCTTTCCTTCAACTTGTGAGACATTCAATTAGGATGAATTTTCTCCAAATGTTTCCAAGAAGTTACATTTTTTAATTAATAGTTAAAATATTGATTTCATTCAATTGCACATCAAGGCTTTACTTGTGCTAGTACTGACCTCCTAATTTCTAAAATGCCTTTGTATAGGAAGAATAGCAATTTAGTATCTGGGTTACAATGATGTAGGCTTTGTCAATAAGCTTGAAGTGCTGAATTTTCTCCTTCTGTAATGAGATGTCAGCAGCATTATTACTGAGAAAGAGTTGGCAAAGTTTAAAAACAGCAAAAAAATGCAACCTTAAAAAAGGATGAAATCTGTCCTGAGAATTGAAAGACCATTTAAATAATTAGAAGACATGTAAGGTAATGAAGAAGTATCTTTAGACAGTTTGTGTTTCTTTGTGTGCAGTGTAACTGATTTTAGCTTTCTAATTACTGCTACAAAAAAAAAAAAAGGAAAAAAAGTCATAGAAGAGAAGGCAATGACAGTCCTAGCCCAGTAGTTTGCTGGGTATCCAGTAGAAAGCATAACTTCTCAAAGAACAATGCAGGATATATATTGAAATTACTTAGAATGTATTTTTGATCTTTTTAAGAAGAAAGACATATTCCTATCTTGATATTTTTAGATTGTTTTTAAACAAGTTAATTATGCTCGTTTAGCTCCTGACAGTAAAACCAAGTGCTGACACAGTCTGATTCTTGACTGAGATATTCACACCAATGTCCATTTTGTATTAATTGAGGGAAAAAAATGAGTGTCCAGGGAAGTCACATATATTCCATGAAATACTCCTCTCCTGTGTTCTTTTTTCTACACAAATTCCCAAATTAGTGTGTAGTCTAATGAAATTCTGGTATTTGAAGTCTTTCGTGGCATTGGCACTATTGACAGGAGAGGCTGACTCTACAGGCATGATCTTCTGTGGGCAGTGTGTAGTGCTGACAGAAATGAAGTTGTCGAGTAATAGGAACAGACTGTGAATGCAACAGAGCAAATCAGATTAAAGTCTTGTAGTTCTAAACAAGTATTTGCTTCGACCTATTGAAAAGGAGGAGGCTGTTATGAACTTAATTATATCAGAGATAATAGTTTATATGCTACGCTAATACTCAGGATACAAGAGCATAAAGATAAATGAATGTGGTCATAAGGAAAATGGCACTTCTCACCATTGCATTTCCTCACTGGACATCTATCATACAGCATTATCTGAGAGACACCCAAACAAGAGCCAGGAGACCAGGTTTCTCTGCTGACTACAATGACTAAAAAGCTCTGACCTTCAAAACCGAACCATTTAACCCTTGAATGATGATAAATCTTTTTTTTTTTTTTTAAATGTCCATGGAGCTAATTATTGCCCATTGATTCAAAAGGGACTATTGAAAATGTCACAGTTAATTCCCACAGCGTTTTTCACAACTTTAAACTAGGAATATTGAATGCACTCTTTCTGTGCCATGCCATAGGATTTACTGATGAGTTTGCCATTAAAATAAGAAGACATTTGGAAAGTCTTTATTGCTGGCCAGTTTAGAAAGACTTAAAATCTTTTGGAAGGTTAATTATTATATTGATAATTTTAGTGAAACGTATAGATGCTTTGATTGAAGCATTTATAATTAGATTTCCTCACATAATTTTTTATAATTAAGTTGATTGCCAGCTACTGCAGTGCTATCCATTAAAACTACCTGGTTCTTGCTAGAATAGGTTTTCAGGGCTAATTTACGTGGTGATCACATAAGGAAATTTATTACTCATGCAGTCATAATATGGCAACAATTCTGGCAGATTTTCATTTGTGCCAGCTAAAAATACTTGGAACAGTAACTTCTGCACTGTAAAAGGGTTTTGCAATTTTGTAATTCTTTGTACACCTGATTTGAGTGAGGCTGATGGCAAGCTTTCTTTTAACTTACTTGTTATAATGAATCTATTGGTAAAATTTAAATTGTTGAATAGTCAGCTTAATTTGTCCACTTTCTCTTGCTTTTCCTTCTTTGTTTTTCTTTTTTTTTTTTTTGTTCCAGTTCTATTTTTTTTCCTAAATACCTGTATTTCACTCAACAAATATAAGTTTTTCTGTTGACAAAAACTCGTATTTTTTGGTCAAATATTGAATCTGCATCTGAAAAAAAAAATGATACAACAGTTACTTAACAAAACTACAAGGAAAAAATAACAATCTGAGCACAAAGGATAGAAAAGTAACAAATTATCTTCAGCCACAAGTTTTAATTAAGGTGGATGTTTTCTTTAAGTTACTGAGATTTCATATGCTGTTTATATTATTAGTCCAAAATGCTGTCACTGATGGGCATAATTTTAAATTCACTTAAGAATGAAGTTTGCCTTCCTGTATTTTTTATAAAGATTGTCATCTTTAAAAAATAAATAAAATAACACAATTTCAGCTTAGTAGAATGTGGGATCTAAAGTGGATAAAAGCTGTATGCCAAGTAACTGTATCAATACAATCATCATCATCATCATTCTGCAAGTAAATCCTTATTTGTTTTAATTTGTAGTAAGATTAAAGTGTTGTGCAGGAAATGTAGGAGATTCCTGGATTGTGTTGCCGGCAATTTCCTAATGCTGCTTGAGGGGAGAAAAGGATAATTCTCTGCTTGACCTGCTGCTTACATAAAGAGAAGGACTAGTGGCAAACATGGTGATAACTAACAGCTGGGATCAAAGTGACCATGAGTTGCTTCAGTTCATGATTCAAAGGAAGTCTGGAAAGATAGTCAGCAGGTTATGACTGTAGACTTCAGGAGAGCAGACTTCAGCCTTTTTGGAGACTTGCTGGGCAAAATCTCTTGCTGCCACAGAAACATAGGGTTCATGAAAATGGATGTTTTATTTATAAAACTTACTGGGAACTCAGGAATGAACCATCTGGTTGAGCAGAAAGGAGGGGGATTCAGTAGAAGGCCTTCTTGGCTGAGCAAAGAGCTTTCTGATGACCTAAAATACAAGATGTAGACAAGCATTGTTTGACCACTTAATGACAAAATCAAAAAGCTGATTGATTTGAGCTAAGATTTACAAGAGTCATAAAGAATAACAAAAAGTGATTCTGCAAGTGTGCTAGTTTCAAAAATGCAGGTAAAATTTGAAGAAGGTAAAAATTGATGAATGAGAGAGGAAGACAATATAATGACAGACAATATAGAAAAGGCTGAAATACTCAACGTCATCTTTGCCAGGCATTTCAGGGACCAGAAGGTATATGGAATAATCAGCATAGATTTACCAAAAGCAAATCATGTGTCTGTCCAACCTGGTTGCTTTTCCTGATGAAGTGACTAGCAACGTGGATAGAGGGAGAGCAGAGGCTGCCCTATACCAACCAGTGCCACAGCATAAGTACTGCCTTGAGCAGGAGTGCCTCTTTGCTGGATGAAAACACAACCGACTCCAAAGGCATACCTGACCCATGCCATAACTCCCACAGATGTGCATCTGGGATCTGCTGTGGGAAACATGGTGATTCCTCTTCTCCACTAGTTGCCCTGGGGAGTGACTGCAAAGGTATTTCTCATACATTTTCTGTGGGCAGGAGAAGCTGTAACACAGGGAGCACCCTTTA